ACGCGCGCGCGCGCGCGCACACACACACACACACACACACACACACACACACACACACACACGTGATCCTTGAGGCCAGCAAGTGAGCAAGTGCCTTGGCTAGTGGAAGGACTGTTTCTTCTGCAGCTTTCACCTAAGAAGGTAAAGGGGCCAAAACTGCAATTCAGCCTCAAAATATGTAAGGTAGGCAGGGGACTGGCAAAGATGATGATCCTTTATCCCGGGGAGTGAATATGGACCACAGGAAGGTGATTCATTTGTGGGAGAATCAAGCGATTTCTCAGCAGGGTAGGAGACAAATGGTCACTGTTCTGTGAGTCAGTGGTCCCACAAGACACTACATTTCCCTGTCCCTGCAACATAAAGACCTGGCAAGGAGGTCACAGAAGCACATCCATTCGCCAAGCCCCTCCAAGACCTACCCATGCTGGCTGCCTAGATGCCCTGGGCATGGAAGACAATGAGGATGGATCTAACCAGCCAGACTCAACACCCACCCATAGCTCGATAGGGGGCTGCCCAAGAACCTCACTGGTAGTTCCAGCCCTGTACCTCTATCTTGTGACATTAGCTCCCTTCTCAATGCCATTTCATAAAATTTTGACTCATCACAAATACACATGACTGGTCGGCTCAGAGTCAAATGAGACCATGTGTTCTGAGACAGACAGTTAAGACCTAGAACAATCAAAGAAGTCTGCTGCTCCCACAGGCACCCAATGCTGGAGGACCTGGGCTCTTCAGGCCACCACAAATCAGTCACTAGGCCACTCCAGGCACCCTTTCCCAAAGTGAATTTTTACCAAACAGGACAAAATTCAACTGGATCACACAAAAATCTGACGTGCTGAGAGAAAGAAAACTTGATTAGAAGAATGGGTGTGAGGGCAGTGGGAAGAGACTCCAGAAGGTTCTCATGTGTCCAGGCGCTGGATCTCAGGACGACTGTCCACATCTCTGGATTCAGTGCGAGCTCGGATGTAGTCATTAGCGCTTTGCTGGCGAAGGCTGACTCTCCATTTCTGCACGGCCAGGAATGTGCTCACTGCATAGGCTGCTGTTGCCAAGAAGCCAAATATCTAAAATACACAGTCACAGTTTACCCTTGAGCATGAGCACTGAAGCTGAGTGTTGTCTCAGGCTGTGTGCAGCGCCTTCCGGCAGCACCATATCCCCAGCCCTACCTGCATAGCTGTTACCTGGCTGAAGCCATGTGACCCACAAAAAAGCTAGGCTGGCATGAAGACAACTAAGAGGTCTTTTGAGTCTTTTAAATCTATTTCCTCTCTTTTTCTTTCTTCTTTTTTTGGTTGGTTTTGTTTGTTTTTGAGACAGGTTTTCTCTTTGTAGCCCTGGCTGTCCTGGAATTTGCTCTGTAGACCAGGCACCTGCCTCAGCCTCCCAAGTACTGGGATTAAAGTATGCTCCAAAACTGCCTGGTTTGTTTATTTAGTATCTATCTATCTATCTATCTATCTATCTATCTATCTATCTATCTATCTGTCTCTGGGGGGGTCAGGGGTGTCTTGCATTTGGAGGTCAGAAAATAGCCTTGGGTATCAATCCTCTAGTTTAGGACAAGGTTTCTTGCCTTGGGCCATGCATAGATGCCCTGGGCATGGAAAACAAGGAGGGTAGATCTAACTAGCCAGACTCAACACCTACCCATGGCTCACTAGGGGACTGACCAAGAACCTCACTGGCTATTACAGCCCTGTACGTCTGTCTTATGTCATGTAGTTCTCTTCTTAACACTAGATGAGCCCATGAGCTTATGGGGATTTCCCTCTCCCCATCTTGCCTTAAGACTACTGAGATTATAGATGTACCTGTTACCATATCCGGCTTTACATGGGTTCTGGCAATTGAAACTCAGGGTCTCATGTCTACATGGCAAGCACTTTACCCACTAAGCCAGCCCTCCAGCCCTCCAGCCCATTATCTTTTTAAAATATTTATTAATATTATTGTTATTACTATATTATTTTGAGGTTCTCACTATGCAACCCTGGCTGACCCAGAACTTTCTATGTCAAATTTAAGGCAACCAACCTGCCTCCTGAGTGTTGGGATTACAGGTGTGCGCCACCACACCTGGCCTTAAACTTTTTTTATTTTTAAATCACAAAAGTACCTCTTTTACTGCATGCAATTCATGATCACTGGTTCCAAAAGTAAAAATATAATGTAGAGCAAATATGACATAGAAAGAATAGAATCTCACATGAGAACCCCACAGTGAGCCACCAAGCCCATGTTCTGTATCACCACACCCCCTACTGCCTCTCATCTGGGCAGCACCGGGCAAGAGAAAGTAGGGTTTTAACTATTTAGTGATGGATCTCCTGATCATGTTGGAAGTGCAGTCAGTTTCATGGTTTTCAAAAAATTGCTTCTTACATTCATTTATTCATTATCTTGTGTGTTGGGGTTGTGTACCATGACACATGGGTGGATATAAGAGAATAATTTGTAGGAGTCAGTCCTCTCTGCCCATGTGGGAGCTGGGGCCTTTTACCTGCTGAACCATCTTGCTGTCCCTATTTCAGTGTTTTGTTTTTTTTAAAGCCTCTTACCCACCCTCACCCATCACAAAAGTGATACCTGTTCTTTATAAATCAACAGCAAGGCAGAAAAAGAGCATTGAGAATGAACCCTTTCTGACATCTGACCACCACCCCCCATCTCTTTGTACTCCCAAGGCCAGGATAGGAAACACTTTAAGGAGGGTGAATAGGGCACATGCCAGGAGACAGAGGAGAACAAGTCTCAGAAGCTGCAAACTCAGCCTAATTAAACCAATCTAGCCTGCTTACCACAGCAGCAATCTCTGCTCCGGCTCTGTGGTTTAAAGCAGCCAGTACAATTGAGGCAATAAAGAAAAAGAAAGTGCTGAGTCCAGTGTTGACCAAATCCTAAAGAAAAAGAAAAAAATACAATCATTTGCAAAGCAACCGAAGAACTTTCCAACTAAGGCCCATGAAGCTCATTTCTCTTGTGCCTCAGTCTCAGTGTCACAGGGATATTGCTCACTGTAAGAGGAAGAGAGTAGTAATGGCTTCCAATACACCTTTACCTCTCTTGTGTTACCAAGTCTTGACTAAAGAGCAACCAAAACTGATAACACTGCTTACTAGTCAGAGTTTGGGTTAATTTATTCACTTGCAGTGCTGGACATCGAACCCAGGTCTTTTACATATACAAACCAACAGCCTACCTTTGAGCTACCCACAGCCTTCTAGTGTCATCTTTTTACTTTAGTTTTTGAGGCATGCATCCTTGTCTGTCCTGGAGCTTGCTATGTAGACCAGGCTCACCTTGAATTAAGAGACCTACTGCCTCTGCCTCTGCCTCTGCCTCTGCCTCCCAAGGGATGGCACTAAAGGTGTGTATCACCATGCCTGGCTTAATGTCACCTTTTAAAAAAGGTTTTCATATCATTTAGATTAGGTCAAGTTTCCCAAGAATACAAATGTACTGAAAATGGAACACCTCCCAGGATTCTCTTTCCTGTATGACATCTAAAACATGGCATTCATACATTGAAAACATACTTTTTTAATATTAATAGACTTTCAAGCTTCTATGTCACCAAAGCCTTGAGGATTTTCAATAAGCTTTATGCAAACTGAGTGAGGTTACTAACCTATTGCTACATAAATGTAATTGCTGCCTTCCTTGTAGAAAGGATGGTAACACAGTGATTAGGAGTCACTGCCACACGGGACCTAACCAATGAGACAAGCCATTTTGTTTCTCTGTGTTTAAAGTGGTAATAGCAATCCCTTCTTCCTCGCATTGTTCTGGGAAGCAAATGGATGAGCCAAACACAGTGTCTGGCCTACACCTAGGGTGCTTCTTTAGGCATTAACCAGCACTTCTGTTTTTCCTGCTCTAGCATCAGGTCCTCAGTCTCCTGGGTCATACCTCATAGGCCTCAATGAGCTTCATTGGAGCAGAAACTGCAGAGAAAATCTAATCTGTTTACGGGGCTGGCTGACTATACTACCAACACTGGCAGGTCCCTCAGGTCTAGCCTGACTCCCAGAGGCTGATTTTTTTTTTCCTCTTTCTTTCCTTCTATTTTTCGTTCTTTTCTTTTAAATATTTTATTTTTGAATCAGAGTCTCACTATATAGCCTTGGCTGGCCTAGAATTCATTATGTAGACCAGGATCAAACTCAATGAGATCTGGCTGGCTCCCAAGTGCTAGGATTAAAAGCACATGCCACCACACTCTGCCAACACTCTATCTTAATAGCACACACCTGTGTAGCACAAACCCAGAAGCCAGGGCTCCTACTGAGCTTCTGAATGGGCTAGAGAAAAGCTACAAAGCAGGGAGCATGGGCTCTGCTCAGAGCTGACTACCAGCTATCATATTATTTAGCACACCAGTAACTGCTAACACAGGCACAATTCTGCCTGGATCTACCAAATCAATGCATAACCAGGAGCACTTGCCCAAACAGTGACCTGAAGAAGTTGATGCTTGCCTATAATCTCAGCACTTGAGAGGTGGCAGCAGGAAAATCAGGAGTTCAAGATCATCCTTGGTCACATAGTGATTAAGGGCCAACCTAGAATACACATGAGATCCTATTTCAAAAATAAAATAAAGCCTAGCATATAATTTTCCTCTACTTTCAAGGCTACAACAAAACCAGCTGAATTTACAACTGACATTAACTTTTCTAATCAGTACCTCCTTTAAGCAATACCTACCCTCACCACACCCCTTTTGTCTTTTGTCCATTGGAACAACACAGAAAGACCTTCCCTGCTTCATGTCCCAGGACATACCATGACAGCAGTCCCACTACACACACAGTCAGCTCCCGTTTCTTCCCACATAGTCACCTTTCCCCAGGCACCTGCAGGAACCATGCACCAGCAAGAGTCAGAGCTACGCTGGGGTTTCCATGACACTAGGGTGAGGGTGTATGGGCTGCAGCCCTGAGTGAGGGCAGGGGATGTACAGCTAACCCTCCTCACTCTCCCAGAGTCGTGATGTGATTGATGCCTCTGGGTTCCCTCACAAGTAGAGAGCATGAGGCACTCTTGCACTTTGGAGTACCTCCCTCAGTGACTCCCTCTGACCTTATACATGCTCATCTACAAAGCAAGAGCAAGAAACCATGACATAAAAATTATTTTCATTCAAGGACAAATAAAAACAACAAAGTTCAGGAAATTGGGACTGACAAGTTCTGAGTATATCAGGCCAATTGACAAGAGGGTCCAAATGAGACTCAGAATCCAAGGCACTGAGAGAGGACGAATTCCCTCTGCAGACCTTCCAGTCAAACTTGGAGCCTCAGTGGCTCTGTATTTGACAGCACTCTTGGGATCTGCAAGTCACTGGTGCTTTTACTCATATTGTCAATTCTTTCAGAATCATATTTTGCTGGTTTTTGAGACAAGGTCTTGTTATATAACCCAGAAAGTCTAGTTCCTTTTGTAGACCATGAAGGCCTTGAACTTGCAGTGATCCTCCCATCTCTGCCTCCAAAGACCTATGATTACAGGTGTGAACCATTATACCTGCCAGAATCAATATCTTCATAAATGGCTCTAGGGTCCAGTCTGAAAATTATGGGAATGGATTGTTTTCTTTCCCACATTCTACAAATAGCAACATAACCTCCAGATAAGTGACATCCTGGAAAGGACCAACACAATTTTTTTGTTTGTTTGTTTGTTTTGTTTTTTTTCGAGACAGGGTTTCTCTGTGTAGCTTTGGAGCCTATCCTGGCACTTGATCTGGAGACCAGGCTGGCCTCGAACTCACAGAGATCCTCCTGCCTCTGCCTCCCAAGTGCTGGGATTAAAGGTGTGAGCCACCAACGCTCAACTACGGACCAACACAATTTTGTTATGATGTCTGACCACTGAGTTTGAGTTAGGATTCACTTTACTTGTGTAATTTTACTCAACCCAGTAAAGAAATTTAAAATTTCACAGCTGAGTTATGAGGGAGTGTTTAAGTACCAAAATGAACTAGAGCTACATATGACAGGAGAGATTCCCTTCTCCATGAGCACCAAGCAGCATACTCACTGTCAGATTCCAGTTGATCTGGGGGATCCTCATGTGAAGGTTGAGACTGAAGAGAATCAGCAAGACCCCAGTCACCACAAATGCACTGCAGCTTACGAACTCAAAAAAGTAGAGGCCTTCGCATGGGGAACACTTCATGATGGTCTCGATGCAGATGAATGCAATCAGAGCCAAAATCTAGCAAGAAAATTGGACATACATGTATGTATATATTTAGTACACATCTATGGACACACATGCCTGCTGTGTTTTTAAATACAACTGAACAGTATACAGCAGCTGGGTTCTCCTTTGCAGAGAGCAATGTGTCTGACAGAAACATGACTAGCTTCAACTTGTAGGCAGGAACAGGTAGAGGAATTGGAATGAGAGGTCAAGTTCCTAACGAAAACAGTGAAGGTCCCTCCACTGCTCTACTGAAACCAGCCACGCATGGTGTGGCTCTTCCAGGCCCTTTGGTCCTCTGGAAGAAGGAAGAAAGGAGGTATCTCTACAGCGTGTTAGCTATCCCTTTAAAGTCCCTAAAAGGAAGCTGCCCAGCTTCTCTTCACCTTTCACATACTAAAGACAAAGAGGCCATCTTCATTAGCTCCTATGCTTTTGGGAGTGGGTCTACTGGATTTCATCAATAGGTGGGCTGGCAGTTTACTTTAAGAAAAAATAAACATTTAAATTTTTGAATAGAATCAATTTCTTCTGAAAAGCCAAAGTAACATTCTAGCATTGTGCCCCCCAAATTCAAAGATAATAAAACAAAAGAGATACATACCAGTAGATATGACCATATGAACATCTAGAGTCCAGGAGAAGACGGGGGTCCCAGGCTATGCTAATGCCCCCCAAGAAAGGGTGCCCTTAATAACTAATGCCTAATCAGCCTTGGGTCCCAAGCCTCTACTGACAAAGTTATCCATGTTAATCCTTTACCAGATCCAGCCCCACTCCACCCAAGACGCAGGTCAATGAAGCAGAGGTAAGAGTTCCAAGGCCCTCTAGAACCAGCAATGCAGCACTCCCTTGGGGTGGTTCAAAATGTACAAGTTCTGCCTCAGCTTTTGCCCTTCTTTCCCAAGTCTCATTCACACCTTGCCAACCTTCCAGACAATGTTTCCTCCCCAAATCCTCCCTGTGGTTTTCCCTGCCAGACATGATTTTAGTCCACTTTTATTCTGTCTAAGTGTTAGACAACAGTATCAGGCCACCTCCCTCTACTCCTATGGCATCAAGTGCTGTTATGTACACAGAGCCAACAGAGGACTTGGTGAGCCACAATAACCTCTCACCTACCCTTCCTGAATTTGTCAGACTCTCCCTATAAAAGGAAAGTTGGCTCTGCCGTTCCTGCTGTCAAACCACCCACCTTTCCTAACCTACATGGTCAGCCTGCTTTTCTATCCAAATCAACAGACAGGATATAGTCTTGTTTGTTAAGGGATACAAAATTTCATTTAAGAATTAGCTCAAGAGCTCTACTGTGTAGCATGATGGCCAAGCATCTCACAATAGATACAAGTTTTCTTAATCCAATAGAAGATGAAACAAAGTAAATAAGATGGATCTCTAAGCACATACTACACAGACCTTAATTCTCCGTCTGAAATACATGCCTAACTTGCATCAACTCAGTTCACAAAAGGGAAACACGAAATGATTTTTTTTTTTTTTACCCTTGTAATAGGATCTACTATCTTGGACAAGAAATAGAACACTGTGCTGATGAGTTACAAATATTTCTGGTACCATAACTTCAACCACATTTGGATGGAAAGGTAACACCTACATTTTTAAAATAAAAATGGTTCATGAATATGCAAATGTAATAGGTCACTCATTACAGCAATAAATACAACAGACAAGAATCCCTGCTTGTGATCTAATAATTAATGATGTTCAGAAGTTAAAAGAAGTCAAATTGATTAAAAGAGAGAAAGAATAAAGCACAGGAGGTGAATGAAGATGCCAGCAGGCAGCTAGTAGAGGCGGTAGACTTGTGTGGCCTTGGGAAGTTTGGATGCCAAAGGGGTAGGGGAAGCAAAAGAAGACCCAGAGGGGAAGCTGCCAGGAGCACACTCTCCAGGGTTGCAGCATGGTGAGCACCAGGAAGGAAGGCTAGATGCATAGAGCCAAGGTTTGGGAGAACCCCCCCCCCTTCCATTACCAGGGAAACACTATTTAGGTAGAATATGATTTGAGTCTCCTGTAGGGAGACGACAGCAGGGAGAGGACCACTACAGAGGCTGGAGAACAGGTGGAGGGCCTCTGCAATAACCTGAAGGGGAGGGTGGCACAGAACAGGAAGGTGACAACCCAGAGGGTGAGCAGGGGTAAGAATTCTAGACATATGCTCAGGGAAAAACTCGTGGGATTTGATAATGACATGTGAAAAGAAATGAGACCAATGTAATCCTACAGCCTGCCAGAAATGAACAGGGAAGGTCAGAACTTTGGTTTGGGACATGCTAAGGCTGAAATAATCAACAGGCTGGAAGAAAGGCTGGGATACAGACTAGCATCCAGGGTGAGAACAGTCAGAAAGAGGAAGGCCTAGGGGTAAGCCTGGGCAATCCCATCCATCTATGACAAAAAGAACTAGGTTTATTTAGGTTTATTTAGGTTGATTTAGGTTTAGATCTCAGGTTGCCAGAGGCAATGGAAGTGTGGGATTCGGCCTCCAAACTGGCCCCATACCTCCCTGATATTTTTATTCTTCCTCCTGTGGCACAAAACAAAGGGCTGAGCTATTTGCTTCTATAGCCTGTGTCAGAAGTCACTGTAGAGGCTGACTTGTTCTCCCCTCCTCTGGGGTTACACTGCTATGGAGTGACAGCCAGGTGGAAAGATACAGTGGAAGCCAACATCCTGTCTAGGAGCACAGAAAGGAACCACAGCTAACCCACTCTAGAATTGTTGATCCCCAGAAGAAGTGGGGGGAAAACAAAGGACTACTGTTCCAGGCCACCAAGTTTTGGGAGTAATTATCCAGAAATAGATAATACACTAAGGGGAACCTCATTCATAATATAGCTACTATTAGCAAGCAGTACCTGCTACTTACTTGTTACCAAGAATAAAGTACTATATAGGAATTTCTCGGATTACCATTAACACAAGCCTACAAGACAGGCATTAGCCCCATCTTACAGTTAAGGAAGCAGAAGTCTTTAAGGGAACAAGAGGCAGGGCCAGGATTCATAGCCACGACCAGGGCCTCAGTCTTGACTTCTTGCTGCCTTACTCTACTACTTCCTATCAAAGTGACAACTGATTGTTTTGTTACCTTAATGTGTTCCAAATACCAACAAAAAAATTACAAAACAGTATAAGTCATATACACAATGAAACATGTTAATGGGACTGGAGTGATAGCTCAGCAGTTAAGAGTGATAACTGTTCTTGTATAGAATTCAGGGTTCATTCAGTTTCCAACACCCATATCAAGTGGCTCAAAACTGCCTATAACTCAGGCTTCAGGGGATCTGATACTTTCTAGGCCCCAATGGCTTCTACACATATGTGCCACAGATAAACTCACATAGGCACACACAAAAACACATCATTTAATTTTTTTTCATCTTATATGACAATAGAGGCCAGAAGAGGGCATCAGATGCCCTTGAACTGGAGTTACAGATAGTTGTGAGCTGACATGTGGTTGCTGGGAACTAACCCGAATCCTCTGGAAGAAGGGGCAGTGCTCTTTACCACTGAGCCATCTCTCCAGCCCAACACATAAATTTTTTAATGTTAAAATCTATACACGATAATTTTAAACTCAGAAAACATCTATTATAAATCCTATATTTTAGCCTACTTTTTCTTAATAGTAAGAAATACCTTAATCCACAGGTATTTCTAAATAAAGAATAACATTTTTAAAATTATTACATAGTATTTACATGTAAAGATAAATCTATATGCAGAATAATTTAAACTATCCCAATGACAGCTATTTAGATGTTTTCTAAAGCTCTGCTATTATCAGCAGTACATTTTGGGGAGCGGCATGGAGATGAGAATAGGCACAGAATATGCCACAAACTCTTCCAGCACAGTGAATCTAAAAATCACCTGTGAAATAAGCCACCTGCTAACCAACAATGAGAGAGGAAAGATTTGGCCAGTTGTGTTAGGAGCCCCCAGTGTCAAAGCAACCGAAGAATTAAACCACTGAACTGGCAGCAACTTTGCAAAAGACACACGTGAAAAGCTTGACAGGTCTGAAGGGTAAATGAGGAAAACTAGCTTTTGCTTATCAGGAGGATCTGGCTGATCTATAAAAGTTGATTCGTAAGTTGATATTGACAAGATTGCCAGGTTTCCACTACCTATGGCTGTGGTAATATATTGTTTAGGATTTAATAAAGCTTACTTAGGGATCAGAATGCAAAGTTAGCCACACTAGCTAGCCACAGAGGCCAGGCAATGGTGGTACATACCTTTAATCCTAGGTCTCAGGAGGCAAAGGCAGATGGATCTCTGTGAGTTCAAGATCACCCAGGGCTACATGAGAGTAAATCAGTCTAAAAGAGAAACAGAGCTCATGCCTTTAATCACAGCACTGGAGAGGTATATGAGGAAGAAGTAAAGGGTCTCAGGTGAAATTCAGTTTCCAGTCACAGGGAAGACAGGATCTCCATTTCAGTCTTGGTACAGGTAAGAGCTGTTGTGCTTTTCTGATCCTCAGCTTGAACCCCAATATCTGTCTCTGGGTTTTTATTATTCATGCTACATGTAGCTGTGACTGTCGGCATCAAAACAAAGGAAAGGAGAGCTATTATATTAATTGGTACATTAAATTTTTTAAATTTCATTGCATTCAGAGAGAGAGAGAGAGAGAGAGGACACAACTTGTGGGAGTCAGTAGGCTTCTTCCACCATGTGAGACCTGGACACTGAACTCGGGTCATCAGATTGGCAGCAACCCACAGAGTAATAATGCCAGCTCTATTCATACTTTTTAAAAAGTGAGAAAGCCCTACATTACCAGGAACATGAATGTAAACAGTTAAGGCCTTCCTAGAAGAGTACTCTTCTGAGCCAGCACATGGTGGGGCTGCAGATTCATGCCATGTGATTTTCCAAAGGCAGGCTTGTTCTAGAAGATGAAGTTAATGCTTCAGAGCTCCTCTCTTGCTTCTGCCCCTTGCAAAGTTCTGGAAGGGATCCCAGCAATGCACTCACATGGCTGTGCTTTCGAAAAGCCTATGAAATGGAACTATTTAAACTGCAATCTGCTCGTACTGCCACCACCTCCTTCCACTCCAAATTCTGCTCCTTGTGCCAAATGATAAGGGAACAGTAACAGAGACATTCAAGGGGTTCAACTAGCTGGAAATTGAGTGAAGGATGAATTAAATTTGGGGCTAGCTGTCTTTTCCACAAATGGTTAAATTCTTGTAGCTTTACCCGTTAAGGAATAGCTTCTGAGATACCCCACATTTGCTACACTGACTGAACTGACTCTGTGACAGAGGGACAGGCCCTCAAATTTGTAAGACAAATGTATCCTACATGCCAACTAGAAACATCTAAGTAGTGGAGGAGAAATGGGGTTTGAACCCTATGGAGCCATCAAGTTGTCTTGGATATTCTCAGCAATGCAGTTCATATAGCTGCGAGCCTGCTCTACAGCTGCTCTTCTTCTGGGTGGAAATCACTTTAGAGAATGTAGACAGGGTTTGAGGGGCTAACCCTATAGCGCTATCACAAACTACAAGCATATGTGGAGGTGCAGAGCAGTTGTCTCCACCTGTCAGCTTGCACCTCGAGATTTCCACAGGGTTTTGTTTGTTCCTTTGGTTTTTCAAGACAAGGTTTCATGGTGTAGCCCTGACTGTCCTGGAACTCACTGGAGAAAAGGTTGGCCTCAAACCCAAGAGATCTGCCTTCCTCTGCCTTCTGAGTGCTGGGATTAAAGGTGTGTGCCACCACTGCCCTGCTCAGTTTCCACAAATCCCAAGAATCCCCAGTAAGATGGTACACAAGGTTACCTCCAACTCTCAAACACCGTGAAGAAACCAGTGTTCTGGTGACTCCTATGTATATTCATCAGTAAGTTAATACCCTCTCCTCAAAGCACACAGTGACGCCTCAAAACAGAAAGGTAGAGAGAAGTGGGTGGGATTACATGTGCTGGCCATAAAAGACATCTAGATACACCTAGCAAAGCAACAGAGCTGAGTGAAGTGGTGAACTTAGGAGGCAGAGGCAGAAGGATTAGGACATCAAGGTCATCCTCAGAAACATAACTAGTCTGAGACCAGCCTACGTTACAAATCAAAAGAGCTAAGTGTAGTAGCACACCAGTAGGGTATAAGGAATAGGTAGAGACAAGAGAATCTCAAAGTAGAAACCAGCCTGGGCTACATCTGAGTTTAAAGATCAATGGGGTAAAAATGCTTGCCTTGTAATTCTGATGACATGAATTTGATTCCAGGAGCCCTGGTAGAAGAGAGAACAGACTCCCAAAAGCTGTCCTCTGACTTCCACATTGACACCCTGGTCCTTGTGTGACCACACTCATACACATAGCACATTCATATACACAATGGGAAATACAACTTAGCACATAACATTGAGCAAACACACACAAACAAAGGGTGTTTGTACTCACAAACATTCTTACATATACTGCAGCATTTATGCTAAACAGTGAAAAACACTTCTATGGATAGGACTGACTGAAGAACAGAGGAATCAAAGATTTTTCTTTTTTGCATTTTAAACATTTTTGTGGTATATGACTATATGGGAAAGATATACACTTAGAATTCACACTTATAATTTATAATATATGTGTGTTAGAGACTTAACTATATCTAACTATACACATATATAATAAGTAGATCACATGTACCTAAATTTAAGAAAGATTAGCCAGGCAGCAGTGGTGCACGCCTTTAATCCCGGCATTTAGGAGGCACAGGCAGGCGGATCTCTGAGTTTAAGGCCAGCCTATCTAGTCTACAGATCGTACACAAAGAAACCCTGTCTTGGAAAACCAAACCAGAGAGAGAGAGAGCAATAGATCTACAGTAAAATAATAAAATATTGGTTCTTAGCGGTTACTAACATTTAACCCATAAGTAAATGGGTATTTTTTAAAAACCATGTGAGGGTTGAGGATGTAGTTCAGTTGATAGAGTGCTTGCCCAGCATGCCCAGTCTCCCATACTGCAAAAACAAGCAATTCATTTTCAAGGCAGAATGTGGATAGGTGAACAATTGCGTTAGACTTTTATTTTCTAATGGGTTTTTTGTTTTGTTTTTAGGGTTTGGGTTTTTGTTTTTGTTTTTTTTTTTTGGTTTTTGTTTGTTTGTTTGTTTTTGTTTTTTTTTTGGTTTTGGTTTTGGTTTGTTGTATGCTACTGTGTTTGTGTTCTGACAAATAAAGCTTGCCTGGAGATCAGTGGGTGAAGCTAGCCACCAGTTAACCAGAGGCCAGGCAGTGGTGGCATATATCTTTAATCCTAGCATTTAGGAGGAGGAAGCAGAAAGATTAAGGCCACCCTGCACTACACAAGATTGAACCAGTTTAAAAGAGAAACAGAGCCGGGCAGTGGTGGCACACACCTTTAATCCCAGCATTAGGGAGGTAGAGACTGGAATATAAGGCAGATGGAGACAGGATCTCGGTGGCCCCCCATTTGGCCTGAGATTTTGTAGAAGAAAGAAGTCCCTAGTGGCTGGGTGCTCTGTTTCTCTAATCTTTCAGCCTTCACCCTCAATATCTGACTCCAGGTTTTTATTGTTAAGACCAATTAGGTTCATGCTTCATTTATTTGTTTTTGTTTTTTCAAGACAGGGTTTCTCTGTACAATAGCACTGGTTGTCCTGGAACTTGCTTTGTAGATCAGGCTGGCCTTGAACTCACAGAAATCCACCTGCCTCTACTGGGCTTAAAGGTGTGCACCACCACCACCCGGCCAAACAGTGCATTTTTAATGGGGAAAAAATGTTCATACACAGATTATTCATGAAAACAGGGTCTTTTTGTGGCCTAGGCTAGCCTTGAACTCACCATACAGCTAAAGATGGCCTTGAATTTTGAACCTTCCTGCTATCCTGAGTGTTGGAATATAAGCATGTGCTAGGCAAACACTCTACCAGTTGAGCACCATCCTCAGTCCTAACACTGTTTAAAATATAATCGGGTTTACTTATGAGTTAAATGTTAATGGCCTCTAAGAACCAAACCTTATTTACTTTGAAACCATTCATGAATATTTTAAAATGAAACAAAAAACTTTAATGGAAAATGAAAGCCACTCTGTACACATCTATGTTGATTCCATTTCTTTATCGGAAGAGTTCATCCTCTCTAGAGCCTGCTTGATGATCATACAGATACCAATTTACCTCAAGCTGACAAAGTGGACCCACAGCACGAGGCTAGCCCCATTCCCTCAAGCCTGCAAGCAAACATCCCCAGAGAAGACACTTTCAGAGGTACCTGTAATAATCAGCCTAAACGCTAATGTCAGAACAGCTTTTCAAAGGATCTGACAAATCACAATGTGAAAGATACAAGCCCACAAAAATTATACCACTTATTGTTTTTTTTTAAAGTCCTGCTCTATACAAGAAGCCCAGATGCTAGCTAAAATGACCCCCGGGGGAAGCTGGTTTGTATGCTAGGAACACTGCTGCTATGCTCACCAGGCGGTGCAGCCAGACTCTTTAGCTGTGAAGGAGCATCCAGAACTCACACTGTGGCCACACGGCTCTGGAATTTCTCAGGCTAAGCACCCAAGGCCATGACACCTTAACTGCATCCCTGGTCTTGGGATGCTTTCCTCTATTTAATACATGGGTTGTATGCCTTGAACACAAGATGCCCCTTCACAGCATACTTAATAAAACTACATAGAGGTGTATAAAGGGAAGATAGATGATAGAACTCAACCTGATCAGGCAGGTCATGTACAATTTACAGAGTGAAGCACAGAAACCTACTGACCCAGCAGGGTGGCAATGATGAAGGCTGCCGGGAACTGAGTGAACACACATATACACAGTAGCAGCTATATGGAGAAACAGGTGGGATTAAGTTTAGTGTGCTCAAAATTTAATGTTACCAGTTGAGGCACCATGTACCTGTAAACTCAACATCCAGGAGGTAAAGGATGCCCACTTGTACTGCAGGATTCCCCTCTCAAAGAGAGACCTCTGGGAGCGAAGCGTGGCCTGTATTCAACAACACAGACAATTATCAGCTCACAGTGTTAATTCTTCTTTTTGCTATGACAAAATACCTCACGAAAGCAACTTAAGGGTTTGTTTTGGCTTACAGTCTATCACAGCAGAAACTTGAGTCTGTCACACTGCATCTAGTCAGGAAGCAGAGAGAGATGGATGCTGCTGCCTAGGCCACAGGATGGTGCTGCCTATATTTAGGGTAACCCACTTCAGTTAACCTAATCTAGAATCACAGACATGGCCAGATTTGTCTCTCAAGATCCTGTCAAATTGAAAATTGCTATGAGCCATTATAACTTCTTTAGAAGACCTGGGGTCAGCCTCTGTAGAATAGAAGAGGCAGGGAGGACAGTATAGAAGTCAGGCTCTGTTCGCAGGCACAGTAAAAGTGGACTCTGGGAACTAGAAGAGCACCAGATATCCCCACCTTTTTTCTGAGTCAAGAGTAGAGACATGAAGTTGTTCTGTATGTGCATATGTTTTTAAATGGCAGATCTTAAAACCTCAACCACAGACTGAAGAGATGGCTCAAGAGGTTAAGATCACTGACTGCTCTTCCAGAGATCCTGAGTTCAATTCCCAGCAATCACATGGTGGCTCACAGCCATCTAAAATGAAATCTGATGCCTTCTTCTGGCATGCAGGCATACATGCAGGCAGAACACTGTATACATGATAGACAGACAGACAGACAAATAGATAGAAAACCTCAACCACACCATATGTCTGGAGAGAGGCTCAAAACACTGTGCCTCGGGAAGCACCCCAAAATGTCAATAGTTCACACTGAGTCATCTAAATGTAAGGAAACTACCCAGCCCTGAGGCATACACCTTCTATGTCCAAGGCCATGGGTAGTTCTTCCCTGTGCCACAGCCTCCTACATGAGATCCTAACAGAACTCATCTGGAGTCTTTCTATGTTTGGGGCATGGGAAACCCCATCCGTACATAGTTCTTCTTCAAGGACACAGCATGAAAGCTAGATGGCCAGTGACAAGAGAGTATCTGACAAAGTACATCCATGATGACCATTTTCAAAAGGAGCTTGCTATAGAAAATCAGTCTGTGGGTACTTCTCTCTCATGGGGACCATCTCCTGAGGAAGGCAGATTTTTTTTTTCTTTTTTTTTTTTTTTTTTTTTTTTGTTTTT